ATAAACATACAGAAAACGTGTCAGTAATATCCGATTTTATAAACGGAATTATCAAATGAAAGTACTAAACAGTAAACATGGGATCTAGTCTTAAACATGTTCAAATATTCACAAGTAATAGTAAAAAAATTCTTGATAATCATCGAGTAAATTCTAGAATAAGATCAAAATACTAATTAATAACATACATTGAAGAAAAAACTGACATAATTAACACGCCAAGTTCCTTAGTTCGTTAGGTTTGCACTTGCAGCAAACAATAATTCAAACCAGTAATAAAAATATAATACTTTAGAATTTGACAACAGTCAGATTCCTTAATCAGTTCATATGGAATATTAATAATTTCGATTCACGACTCTTCCAAACCTTGGTTCATCTAATGTTGTGCCTCACCACATCCTCGATTCGTACGTAATCGTATGCTGATTCGTCTAGAGCAGGTTCAGTTTGTAGCACGACATCATTGTAGAGATGATCATTGTTGGGCGAGGTAACTCGGAGAACAACATTGTCGTAGTTGTGTTCAGTCGTAGGGATTGTTTCAGCAATTTTGGGAACTGCAGTATTAGTGTAGATCACATTGCTGGCAGAGACATTTTCCAGCTTTCTACGTAAGTGTAGGATATACAATCCAGCCATTATTATTGATGTTATGAAGAAAACCGCTGCCACCCCTGACGATATCCAAACTCCTATATTGTGTTGTACTGCTTTGCCTGAAAAATAGCTAATATTATAATTATGTACCACAAAATAAATATCCTATACTTTCCGGAATATTGCCCATTCAAAAATGAATTGATAGACATCTTTAAGATTCGTAAAATGTAAATAACTCGAATCTCGATAACACTCTTTACTTCAACAACGGTGGAGCATTATCTCATAAAATCTCCAAAGAAATAAAGGGAGCTTAATGCCTTGGTTATTAATGTTGTACCTAAAAGTATGAAAAGATTAACATAATAGCCGATTACAATTAGTGTGTATTGTGTAAGGCTGATTATATTTGTTATTTTAAAGATAGCTGCATTATTACCTCCTTTGCATTTGTTTGCCACACTGGTTGAATTATCCACACCATTTTCGGTGCACATAGGGTAAAGCACATAATTTTGTCATTTTTTGGCAATTTTCCGACTGCCTGATATAAACCATGGGTTTTAACCTCGTCTGAAATTCCGATTTAGATGAAACCTCCACCATGTTATAGTAAACAGTCTAGGCAAGTTCTAACACAAAAATGATCGAAATTGCTGGGGTTGAAGATGTTCAAAAAAATTATTTTGAAAAAATGACAAAATTAGGTGACTTTACTTAATTTTGTCACCCCGAACCTAATTTTGTCACTTGAAGATTGTGCAAAAAGTAACCGATTTTCGGTATTTTAGACTACCTGGATGCATCATTCGAGCGCTTTTTTACCAACATTGACCTCAAAAATCCCAAAGATATGATGTTTTCATAGTTTTGTAGCTTGATGAAAAGATGACACTATTTGGGTATCTAATCTTAGAAAATAGCCCCCAAATGCCCCTGAAACCACTGGCATCTTAAAAAACGATTGGTTCTAGGTCTAGGTTGAAATTTTCATGTCTGTAGATAGATCACATGCTTAGTAATTTCATCAAATATTTTTTTAGTCATTTTAGATTGAAAAAATCAGATTAGATCATCTATATTTCTCGGCGAAAATATGCTATTATAAGTGTTATGCTATTATAAGTGCCTTATACATATCCTATGGGCAAAAAAACTTCAGAATAGTTGTATAAGGCCATTTTCAACACAATCTGTGATTTACAAGAAATTTGAAAAAGGTCGATTTTTTTGACAAAATTAGGTACTTTTGGCAAAATCGAACCTAATTTTGTCACCCTCTGTAACTTGAACAATAATTGCGCTAGAGACTTGAAAATTTGTACGTATACTTCTGCTGTAGAAGATATTTGAAATATGCAATGGCATGAAGCTAGCTCAATTACTTTTGAAATAGCAATAAATCAAAATTTTGAAAATTCCTTAAGAAAACCTTAAGGATCTTATTTATTTTTCGGGTTAACAGTTTCGCCTTCATTTTTGACACAGATGCAAAAGAGCTAGAACTTAAACTTTGTAGGAGCAGTTTCAGCAAAGTCTAAGCTTTCTTTTTATACACAAACCTTTTCTTTCAAGCTGAAATTCCGAGCCGAGGCAGTTTTTCAGAGCAAAATGACAAAATTAGGTACCCTGACAAAATTACGTGCCTTACCCTATAATATTATGATATTATTATAATAAATAAAAAGCAGACTTGTATTGCTGTTATTCGCTATTTCTAGGTTCTTACCTTCTCTGCAATTATTTGCAACACTGGTTGAGTTGTCCACGCAAACCTTGTAACCAATTTCTGAACACACAAAGTACTCATCAGGCTTACAATAGACTGTGCAATTCTCACCGTGGTGGTTTTCAATGCACTTGTCACAATTTCCTCCTTCTTTGTTTCTGTTTTGACACTCATCACAGTCTCCTCCTTCCTTTCCCTCCGCACAAATCTTGTCTCCTGTAGTATTATTACAGGTATAGTTACCTGTCACTGGTTCACAGTAAGCGTCACATATCTCGTCTGGGTAGAAGTGTTCCCTACAGTCTTTCTCTCCTGATTCATCACAAGTGTAGCTAGTAGTCTCATGGCAGAAGTTAGAGCAATCCTCTCCGTAGTAGTTAACGACGCAGTCCTCGCAGTCATATCCTTCCCTATTTACCAGGCATTCTTTACTTCCCTTGTTAGTGCAGTTATATTTCTGTGGGTGCGGAAGACATTTCACATCACAGGTTCCCTCAGGGTAGTAGCTCTCAACACACCTCTCACAATTTTCTCCCTCGAAATGTTCCTTACAGTCATTACACCTATCTCCTGTTCTCTTTTCTTCACAGACTATTTCTCCAGTGGAGTCACAGTCATAATAACCGGGGTTAGGGTCGCAGTATTTACCACACTCTGTTCCGTAGTAGTTAGCTACGCAGGAGTTACAGCCTAATCCAGTAAAATGGCTATCGCAGCTCAATATCCTATATCTTATCCAAAGAGTTGCTTTGCTGTAGTCACCCTCAGCGTTAGTGTTACTTACAAAGGATTTCCACGACCAGATTCCACCTGAACTAATGTCTGAAAATGGTAACACCAAATCTGATATATTTCTTTCATAATCATCAATATTATATTTATCCGTGTCTTTATCCCATACTTCAAATGATATAGTTATACTCCTACCAGTATGGATGTTAACTAGAATATCTTCATCAAGCTGCTTCACCTTAGAGAAATAGACAGTATCGGTGTTACCGGTGTCGTCTGTTTTTGCTACTCTGAGAAATTCATTACCTTCTTCATCCTGGATCACAAAGTTCTTAAAGTAAAAGTCACACTCGTCTCCGCAGTTTGAAGAGTCTGTATACTTGTAAAGTTGTATCTCCCCCTTTCCACTGCAGTGTATGTACTCCTGTGTGGGTAATAAGAGTAATATGAAGTATGGTTTCGTGCGTAACTATTGTTACTAATGGTTATAACCTATTATCAGTTTAAAAGGAATTTACAGATGTGTTCATACCTATTATCGTTTATAATTCGATCAATTGAAGGGGTTGCCCACTTTTCATCTATCATGATACAATACCTTTTTTCAAATTCCCGTTCCTTTGCTAAACTGAACACGCTCAGCGTATAGTGCATATAGTGCATATAATAAACAACTTACCGTTAAGAGAAGCAGCTGTAAAACTAGAAATTTCAGACGCATTTTTATTCATTTCAACTTCACGAGAAAGGATAAACATGCACAAATAAAACTTGATCGATGAAGAACGCAGTGCGAGTGTGAAATGTGAGATTCGTATCCTATTATATAGCTTACTTTACAATCAATACAATGTAAAAGTTCTGGGTAACTGTGTTTTCGTATTTTGAGTAGTTTACTAACTTAGAGCAAGTCTTGTCCGACTCAGTACTATTCACATGAGCATTGTCTCTCTAGTTGTATTGTTACAAGTAAAGTAAACCGGTACATTTATACAATTATAGTTGTTACACAGCAGACAGCTCGGTTGGAGTGTAGTTACAAAAGTTGCATCCTAACCTGGTAGAATTAGTATCACACTGTGTATTTCACTGCATTGACTGCGTTTTTCTTCATTAATGAATTAATTAGTTCACTGTGGATGACACAAGATAAAATCAAAGTACTGAAAGATAGGTTACCAGAGATATAGATTTATAAACGGAAAATCATCAAAAGAGACATTTTGGAAGATTTTTAAATAATAGCTTTATTTCTGCCGGTTCATTGAAATTTCACAATTTTGACTAAATTTTTTACCAGTGCGGCCAATATGTGAGGTATGAGTGACGCAAGTCCCAATCGAGGTACTGTAAGCTGAATATCTGGAGAAAGCTTTGATGGATGGAAATGTCCTACTGACCTACTGATAGAGTATTAGATTTAATCAATAATTATACAATAATAATTATGGTTCCATAATCTGTTTTGTAAGGAGTTATTTCAAAAATATGCTGGTTCTAACAGAGCCAATATTTCGAGCTGAATTGTTTGTTCTACCCTTATTCTATATTTTATGATGAAACACAATTACACAATACGATAAATTAAATAAATAAATAAATATTGTAATTAATACATCCATCAAATACTACGGGATATTAAATTATATAATTCCCACCTTCACACTGAAAGGTTCAGCAAATACTCTCATGCGTTAAAATTTCTGTTTTGTTTCCAAAAACTCGCTGATTATTATTTTTAGCGAATAACTAAATAATTAAGAGCTTCAGCTACTTTCTCAACGGAGAATATTTAATGTTTTTCAGCAATCTGTATTATCTCAATTTGCGCTCCAAATACACTATCCAATATCCATCATAGTCATAGTCATATCATTAAAACTTCTCTGCCTCATTTCCAACGTAGGCACAACTTTTATCAGTGTTAAAGTATCCTCTAGCAGGGGCAGGGTTTCAGGACGAGATGGAAAATAGCTAGAGCGAACCCTGATCCTACAAACGGAGCAAACAGAAACACCTGAAAATAAAAACTAAAGTTAGTTAATAAGTTAATAAGTTAATAAGTTAATAAGTTAATAAGTTAATAAGTTAATAAGTTAATACGTTAATAAGTTAATAAGTTAATAAGTTAATAAGTTAATAAGTTAATAAGTTAATAAGTTAATAAGTTAATAAGTTAATAAGTTAATAAGTTAATAAGTTAATAAGTTTATAAGTTAATAAGTTAATAAGTTAATAAGTTAATAAGTTAATAAGTTGATAAGTTAATGAGTTAATATAGAGTAATTGTGTATAAACTGAGCTGGAGAGCTCTTTAATGTGGATATTTAACAATGGAATGTAAGTTCTTAAGTTTTATTTTGTGCGACCGACACATCAAGATTCCTGATTTGTGGAAATACATAAACTCTCCAAACTCTTGACGTGTAAATGCAAATAATTAACAGTTATGCATTAAAGAATGTTTGTAAAATTAAGTTAAGTTAAGTTGCGATACAAAGTAAATTTCCATTCACTTCTATATTTTTATTTTGATCGAATTAAGGTAGATAACAGCTTGTAAATGATACGATTTTTAAAAATAAGTACATTTTTGATCTAATAAAATTTCTAAATTCGTCACTGACCAGTGTTTGATAGGTGGCCTGTCCGATAACAATGTTCCAAACTACTCCTCTCACCGGGTTTATACCACAGTTAGTGTACGGTATCTGAAGTAAGGGTTATCATAAAATACAATATACATTGTACAATATACATTATTCATTATACATTGTACTTTCCTAGCTGCGTAGATATGGTATCTGAACTCTGAAGTAATATAATGGGTGAAATAAAATACAATTTACTTTCCTAGCTGCGTCGATATGGTTCCTTTATATCTGGTATTTCGTCGAATTTATCATAAAACCACACAACGTTTGATTTAAACTTTGTCGCAGATGTATTCAAGAAGATAACATAATTAAGGAAGTTAATTGTTATCTAGGAGCTGTTATCCTGTGCCATATCGATAGCAGATGCAACCGATTCAAGCCTCAAATCCGAGTATAAGATTAAGCCAAACTAAAAATTAACTATAAGTCTTATATTTTATACTTACCTTACTCGGGAATATTATAGCGGGTTAATTTATAACTGGGAAAATTAATAACCGGGAAAAATATGGCGGACTTTCCCAAAACCCGCCAAATTATCCCGGTCATGTATTTACCGGTGGCCGACCTTTCAAGTTTTTTTTCAGAGGTCAACAAATTTTCAACCGAAATTTCTGTTTTTGTTACTTGTTAAAGAAGTTATTTCAATTTACAGTTACTGATATTACTCAGAAATAGAAAAAAAGACACGTCTAGTATTTAAAGGAAAATAAATCTATAGCAATAATAAGTCAAATCTTCATTAAAGCGTATTCTCATTCTCATTATCGCTAATGTCCCCTCCATTATCATTATTGATATCCCCCTGCTGCTGACCGTCAAATTCGAAGTTGTATTGTTGTCTTAACAAGACTTTCATTTTGTCCGCTAATGGGGCTACTGCTCTGAAGGTCAGCCGGAGCTTAATTTCCTGCCCACCGCTTGGTATTGGGGAACGTCTTGGCTTTGCATCTTCAACTGCTCCAGTAATCAATCCACCGTGGACCATGAAATAGTGGCACAGTTTACTCACTTCATGGGCAAGAAAAGTGAGAATCACGGTCTACCCTGAAATCTGATTTCTATAACCAAATTGTGATTTTTATAACGAAATTATGGTAGCAACCGCCAATAAAGTTACAGCCCTCCATCCACTGCTTCAAAAGTCTTCTCTAGCACATATGAGACTTCAGGTAAAATATGATGATCACCACCCCCTTGGCCTTGGAACCCCATAATCTGAGTCGGCGGGTTTTTTTATGACTGGTAAAATTTTTGACCGGGAAAAATATGGCGGAATCTTCCAAAACCCACCACTTTATCCCGGTTATAATAATCCCGAGTAAGGTATAGTACTAAACTAAAGTCAAATAACGTCCGATAAGGTAGTCTTATATCGTGTATTTACAATTTACTAAACTAAAGAAATAAAGTGTTCACGAACCAGCCAGATGTGTATGACGAGTATAGCAATACCAATAGCAAGAGGTTGTAGGTGCGAGGCAGCATGACCTCTCTGCTCATCAATAGAACAGAGAATAGTCAGCACCAGGAACATGGTTCCCAGTCCCTCCAGAACAAACGCATCTCCGTGGCTGATGTAAGTGCTGTCGTAGCTGTTTCCTCCCTTGATGTCCTCGTGTAATTCTTTGTGGGATCCAAGACCGTATAGAGCTCCTGAGAATTTAATTTGGAGTTGAAATGTGAGAGTTACTTGAAATAAATGTAGTAATTGTAGTTGCAGTTTGGTTTTTTACGGGATCTGTCTGATTTGAAATGCACCTTAAATATTTCGTAACTGTTTCCTAACACAAGAAATGCAGAAACAGAAAAAAATCAAATGAAAGCTAAAGATGATATTCAATATCCTCCGGAGATCAAGAATAGGCCCTTCGGATAAAACGTGTAGCAATTTAAACCAAGACACTTATCAATCAATGACAATTGTGACTGAACCAGGATGTTACATCAATGGTCAGTAAACATACCTGCTCCAGCGAACCCTCCGATAAACTGAGCCAGAATGTACAGCACAAATCTAACCACACTGATCCTCCTGTCGAGGAAGAGAGCCCACGTGACTGCTGGATTCACGTGACCACCGCTTGTAGCGCTCAACAAGTGCACTATACCTCCGATACCTGGGGGTGTTACATGGTTGCTGGGGGGGGGGGGGGGGTACATGGTTGCTGGATTCAGCTCCGAATGAAAAACGTAAAAAATGCTTCAATTATTATAAATTTCAGCAATATTTCGTCCATTCAAAAATTCGTTAATCGCAGGACACTAAATTATAAAGTTGAAATTTGCAACGAAATTAACTGGACGATATAGAGATGATTGATTCAACACTACGCAATGTGCCCTTACCGAACCCGAAAGCACAAGAGATGGTAAGAAAGTAGAGTGGAGCGTACTGTACAGCGCCAGGCTCTCCAGGAGTGAGTCCCACGAGGGCCCTGGAGTTAGCACTTCCCACACACACCAAGATAAGGAAGAAGGTTCCTACTGCTTCCCCTACACAGTCACGGAATAGAGCTCGAGCGTTCTTCTCTGAAAACAACCACACTCGCTGAGGAAAGGGTTGGTAGGTGTAGAGGTCGCTGATATGTTAGTAAATTGGAACACAAATATTTGTCAGCTTAGAGGTGTATTATCTGAAGACAGATAGACAAATCTGTCGCTGCTAAGAGTCAGTAGCCTTTTCTCAACAATAGAGCACATTGGAGATTTAAAATAAGTAGTACCAACCTTGGAACTTTTAACCTCGCAAGGACCTCCCGTTTCCCGAAGTTCTGGCATCTTGATAGCGACGTTCTGTGCAACAGTTCCGTGTTCTGTCTCTGTGACACTGCGACCCTGAGACGTTGTTTTCAGTTATATCGGTTAGCTACTGCAGCTACTGCAGCTACTGCAGCTACTTCAGATACTTCAGCTACTGCAGCTACTTCAGCTACTGCAGCTACTTCAGCTACTTCAGCTACTGCAGCTACTACAGCTACTGCAGCTACTGCAGCTACTTCGGCTACTGCGGCTACTGCAGCTACTGCTGCTGGAAATCCATGACGCTTATTTTCCGATCAGGAGATGATGCTTGTATTTGTACTTTGCATGCAGCTTGCAGCTTATTATTTCAAATTCTTTAATATTTGAAAAATGCTGTCGCTTAAGCACTAGGCCATAAGTAAATGAAGTTGCTTCTCATAACTCGTTTACGGTAAATGGTTAATATGAACGCAACGATTCGGATCATGTAATTTCTTCAATAATATGAACTACTGATAGTTCTCTCATGGATCAGCAATAAATGTGTTTTGTGTATGCATTCATGTTTATAGCAAGTAAAACCATTTCATCTGATTGAAGGCAAGTAAAACTATTTAATCTGATGCAGTGCTCATGATTTGATTGAGATGTACTGCCTTGAACTATTTCTCCGTACCTTGCATCTGTTAGTGATGTAATGTAGCAACTAACAGCTTAACCAGTGAAATGGTAATGCAAAACGGGAGACCTTATTATTAGCTGATGATACTAATTAAGCATCAGATTCGTTGATGATGATGAGACCCTGCATGCGAACAGATGAGAAAACACAATCTTCTTGCTTGCAAATATCGATCTGTGGCAGTTAGCATTGTTCATATCGTTTCTTGGTGTCGTTGCTTAGCCATACCAATCAGTCAGCTGGATATCTTACTTCAGACTTGTAGTTCCATTCACTTGTGTCCACCATGTCTTCCATCTCAGCAGCAGGTGCAGCCATCTCATCCAGAGCCCTCATAACCTCCGGATCAGGTTGGTAGTGAAGGACCTCCAGTTTAGAGGGCTCCTGTACTCTCTCACACGGTGAGACCGTCTCCAGGTCCTGGTCACTTTCTGAGAGTGAGTCAACACCTAGACTCAGTGATCCTGGAGGACTTGGTAAAGTGGGAGAGTTCCCAGCTTGATCCATCTCATTGTCTAGATCAATCAGGGGTGGAGTAACTCCACATTCTCCACCCTCGTCTCCACCCTGATCCTCAGGATCACTGCTGTCGTGGTTCAGAACACCAGTAGCTCTCTTTTGCAGCGTGTTCATCCTCCTCTCCACAAGACCCTCTGATATCTTCACTCTAGGTTCTGAAACTGTTATTACCTGGTCTATCTCCACGTCCTCTACTAGAGGAGTCTCTACTGGAACTGGGGTGGTTTTGTTCTTGCTTGCCATAACTCTAGTTTGGTAGGACGATCTTTGACTTTGCTTGAAATACACGGATTTGAAGATTGAGTGAAATTGCGTTAAATTCGATTTAAATTTGCAGTCGAAACGTCCACTAGTGTGATCAATAGGAAAAGTTAATAATTACTCCCAGTTCAGAGAGGAAAAGTATAAATATTAAAAATATCATATAAAAATATACGACATTTTAAAAAGATCAGCTCTGCAGAACTGGAATATTCTAATATCATTGAGAAAACCAGTATGAATATAAAATGGAGGGGATGGCATAATATTCCGTAAACGGCAAATATATGCATTAATGATTAAACGGTTGCAGCCCGGCAATCCAATCATAGATCCTGAAATATCATAATTGAAATCTGGAGACAGCAACAAGAACGAATTTGACTCAAAAAAGAAATACGTGTTATAATCATGATTGTTAAGACCCAAAATTAGAACTGATGTGTGAAACTTAGTTTGTTGTATCCCAGCTGTAATAAATCCGATTATACCAAATAAAACAGCTAAATGTAAGACTGCTAGGCACTGCTTTGTTAGTATTTTGACAGGTTGTAATGGACGATTTTATCAAGCCTCGTTCACTATATACGGTTAATGGTTAATGGTTAATGGTTAATGGTTTCTTCAATAATATGAGCTAGTTCTCTCGTGGATTAGCAGTAAATGTGTTTTTTGTATTAAGGTTTAGCAAGTAAAACTATTCATCTACTTCAAGGCAAGTAAAACTGTTTCATCTGATCCAGTGCTCATGATTTGATTGAGACTGCCTTGAACTATTTCTCCGTACCTTACATCCTTTAATGGTGTAATGTAGCAACTAACAGCTTAACCAGTGAAATGGTAATGCAGAACGGGAGACCTTATTATTAGCTGATGAAATTAATTAAGCATCACACCCCTTGATGATGATTTAGCTATGACCCCATGCGATGAAAAACATCTCCTTGCTTGCAAATATCGCTCTGTAGCAGTTTTAGACATTTTACAACGAACAGCTCTACTGAACTCGAATGTTATAATATCTTTGACAAAACAATTATTATATATATGAATATAAGAGCTTGCTTAGGTTATCCATGATATTTGATTTTAACTGAACCAGTGCAGGGGATAGCATTCCATAAACCGCAAATATTATACACATTAAACGGGTGCAGTCCGTCACTCCGATCATATATCCTGACATATCATTATTGAAATCTGGAGACAGCAACAAGAACGAATTTGACTGAAAAGGACAAATACGTATTATAATCACGATTGGCCAACCAAATAAAACAACTTGATGTAAAACTACTGGCTTGGTAGTATTAGACAGGTACTAATGGCCTATTTGATGACGTCACCAAATAGGCGATGTAACGGGGCTTTAATGTAACTTAAATAAATGCTTTTAATGTAACTGCAGTGAACAAATTTTAGATGGGCAAATTTTAATGAACAGTGAAGCTTTTTATTTATTTACAGCTAGCAGGTTATTTTTCCAAATGGAAATGCGGGATGATAGTGGTATGATAAACTCAGTTCTTACTATGGGAGACGTGCATTCAATAATTTAAATTAAATCGTATTTTTATGGACTTTTTAAAAGTCACAAGTCTTATATTAACCGTATCAGCGAATAAAACTTGCACTTAGGCACAAATAAAATATAATGTAATCTTTATAAATTTAAATCGATTAAATGCGGTGCAGACTGACAGCTTGATTTGTCCCACGTTAATCAGATCTCAGTTATAGTGTAGGATTGGTTGTACGTACTCCTCTAAAATCTATAATTCTTATGATTCGCCATTTCAAGGATTTAATTTTGAGACAACCAGAAAACCACTGGAAACTACAGTAAAAGATATGTGGAGTATTTAAAACTAAAAATGGAGATAAATCTCCGCATGCCTGCTCTATATGGTCAAGTCTACTAGGTTTGATCGAGCAAAATTAAAATATTGCTCAAGGTGGTTATATTCGATTTACTGTACACGTGGAACGTTTTTGTGGAAAAGTAAGCGATAATAAAATAGTAAAATGAGAAACGCGGAAAGTCTGCAGAAGATCTGTGAGACAAATCATCTTGGTTTATATTGATCGCGTAGATGCATTGCTGCGAGAGTTTTTGACGTGATTTTATGAGTTGGATTGATTGAAGGCCCCTCGTTGTCGTAAGGGAGCCGTCTCTAATTGAATAATTTATTACATACATGATAATAAGCAGTTTGAAAAATAAAAAACCTGATGGGCACTCCTGAAATACATTAAACTTCTAGAGTAAATATATCAAAAGTAAAAAATGAAGTCGTACTGTAAAAATGAAATCGTACTGTAGTGCGACACGTACTCTAGTGCGACACGTACTCTAGTGCGAAGTCCGACAAAAACACCCTCTGTCGCACTAGGGTAAGTGTCGCACTACGATCCAGGTAGCGTACTCTACTGCGACAAAATATCCTGACTTATTTCCAAGTTCATGTCACATCCTATCCTTCTTATGGACCATTAAGTGATTCGTCGGGTCGGTTCACGTCACTTATTTCGAAGTGATCTTGCGAATACGATCACGATTGAAATCGTACTGTAGTGCGACACGTACTCTAGTGCGACACGTACTCTAGTGCGAAGTCCGACAAAAACACCCTCTGTCGCACTAGGGTAAGTGTCGCACTACGATCCAGGTAGCGTACTCTACTGCGACAAAATATCCTGACTTATTTCCAAGTTCAGGTCACATCCTATCCTTCTTATGGACCATTAAGTGATTCGTCGGGTCGGTTCACGTCACTTATTTCGAAGTGATCTTGCGAATACGATTCGTCGGTTCACATTACGTGTTTCGAAGTGATCCACTGATCACAATTCCTTTCCTTCGGGTCAGTTCAAGCCACGTATGCAGTGTGTGATCCACCGGGTAACTCGTAAGCAGCATATGATCCTCATTCCTATCACACGCATCGTATGAAGGTATATCTCCGATTTGGATAACAAGTTCATATGCTTGGGCCATATATAAGGTCACGATGATTCTACCAAAGCATCGAACAACATCAACATGTCTTCTTGAATCACCTTCATTCCTGGACGCACTACTGGTTCAAGAAACGTTATCCACAACGGATACCGCTACTGCCTGGATAAGAAGCGCGACGACAGGACCTACTGGCGATGCACTGAGAAGATCTGCTCCGGACGTCTCAGTCTGATGAACGACACTACTGTGACCAGTACGAAGACCCATTCCCACCCTCCTACTCCTGTGCAGCTCTTCACCAAGAGATGATGCTTCTTCCACCACAAGCAAGCACTTTGGAGGAAGATGCAGCAACATGACCTAGTCCCGGAATACAACGCAGAGAACTCAGCAGTACGGAAGTACTTTCAGATGATCGGTGCTATTGCCTTCGTGGACCTTGGAGACGTACTGGATACCTGGACGCAGCTGAAAGCAACCCTTCCCCCGGAGATGGATTCCTTTGCTGACTAAATTTTTATTGAATGTGTAAAGTGTTTTGTCGCACTTTAGTTCGTGTCGCACTACAGTCCAGGTAGCGCACTGTAGTGCGACAGTGTCGGCCTTGAAAATTCTCTGTCGCACTAGGGTACGTGTCGCACTACGATCCAGGTAGCGTACTCTACTGCGACAGTGTCGATCTTGGAGGTTTCGCACTAGGGTACATGTCGCACTAGAGTACGTGTCGCACTACAGTACGTGAACCATTGTGATGAATCATAACAAATGTAATCGATGGTATATAAATGTTAATAGTTGCACGACAAGAGTACCAGCGATAATCTGATCTTAATGTACAGGGTGGCCCAAAAGTGACTACCCACACGCAACCTCTTAATAACTAACGTAATTCGTCTCCAAATTGCACCAAAATTTCAGAGATTATAGATATGGGTCAAACTTAGATTTCCTGAAAGTTTCGTAAGCCACGCTCAATTACAGTGGGCGTGGCGTGACACTCCTTCTTTTTCACTATTGTCTTCATAAAATGGGAACGCTTTGAGCTAAGAACTCTAATTTTTTTGCACACATTTGGCTTGATAATTTAAAACCTTTCCCAAAGTTTCAAGTTCATTGTTCAAAATTTGGCTGAGTTATGACCATTTCAAAATTCATCGGATACGTGATCCGAGCACTCAGTCAGTGATCTCTGCACTCAATCAGTGATCTCGTCACCCAATCTGATCAAGAGTAAGGCGTTAGCGTGTATTAATGAGGTTCATTAGGCTTTACCAAACATACTGAGGAGATGACGACCTGATCATGATTGATTGGATACCGATAATGACTTTGCTAGACAGGAAAACACCAAATTCTTCGTAAAAGTAAGGTCCTAGGATTCCACGAGAACTGATGGCGCACCAGATCGTGAATCACGGTCTAAAAGTTGGTGTTTCTTTGTGATCCGATAGGCCCGGTTAGAAAGATCTCGCTTTAGGATTCGTTGAAGGGATGTTCTGCTGAGGTCTAAGGTAGGAGCTCGTTTTCGGGTGCCAATTTTAGGTATCCATCACGTCACAAACAACCATGGTGATGTTTTCTTCGGTCCTCGCAGTTCGTCTTTTGCAGAAAAAGTGAACTTGATCTTGTGATGCATATCAAAGCAGCTTTTCCGGCAAGGGGATGGTCGGTTGAATTTCATTTGAAATTGTCGTTTAAGCTGAGGGCAGAACTCCCCATTCTCTTTGTTCAGGTAGACAAACAATCGTTGTTCCGCAGTATAGGGAGGATAGTGAACCATTTTCGATGATTCAATGGATAGTTCATTCCTTTTTATCGATTGTAAGGAACGAACCTGTGACTAGCAGGGCTAACAAGCCCTGCAACCAATCAAGCGGTGCATGTGAGCCAAACAGGCCATTAACCAAGTGCAGAGATCACTGACTGAGTGCTCGGATCACGTATCCGATGAATTTTGAAATGGTCATAACTCAGCCAAATTTTAAACAATGAACTTGAAACTTTGGGAAAGGTTTTAAAT